GGGGGGGGGGGGGGGGTTCTGCTGAACATATTTTCGTGTAGACAAAAGACACAGGGATGGAGTATTTTGTTCCACGAGAGTGTCCTGGTTCGGTTCACGTGCTATGCATACATATTATGCATACCGACCAGTAGGACGAGTGTTGCCTATAACGACACAAAAATCATCACCACGAACAACACCGACACCAAACAAACAAATCGACACCAACAACGCCACCAAACACCAACACCCAACACAAACAACACTGCCGACAGCAAACGCATACCGAGTGTACCACACCACCATGCCAAGCCGTGCCGTAGCCACCATAAAGAGCAGACCCCAAAAGGTCGGTTAGACGGACCGACTCACCGTCCCCGCGGTGTTCGTGAGAGACACGAGCTTGGAGCAGTGCACCATCACGTCTAGGTTGTGCATGTGCAGCTGGAACTCCGTGCCCTTGATGATAGGAACCTTTTCGACGCAGGGTAGAAATGAAAGCGGGGGAGGGGGGAGCATAATGTCAGTCCAATAACCCAACACCCTTTTAGCCTTGGCCCGTCTGCTATCGGGGTACGCACCGACACAACATCATTTTCGAGCATCAGACCTACAGTACCACCGAAGAACCAAAAGGACAAGCAAACTCTCGGACGGATGAAAGACTACAAACGTCTAATCTACCCACGCCACGCAATACAGATTGGAACCCCACCCGACAGTAATGCTGTGAGCGCTGATTTAAAGTGACGAGAGAAAAAAAGAAGGCGCCACACTGCTCAAGTTGCAGATCCAAGGGATGGAAGGCAGCGCTTATTGTCGCGTGGCCATCGCATGCCGACACATTTGGCGGTCTCGCGAACCAACAATGCTGACACGCGCAAGGCATCCACCACCGAGACCAAGAATAGAAAACGGACTACTTGCAGCCAGCCGCGAAAGTATCGCTACCTTTCCCAACGCAAGTGTAGACGCTCGCAAAAACGGTCTCTGGTCCCTGGCGCCCTCTCACCTCTAACGCAGGAAGAGCTACGATCTGTGCGTTGAACCTACGCACCACCGGCAGCACTCCCCCGGCCTTGCACACCACGTTCCCGACTACCACCCGGGAGGGATCAACGCCGGACAGGGTCACCTGACAGCAGCACGAAACAACACACGAGCTGGCTTCAGTGTTGATCTTCGCGCTATTCCTTCGCATGTCATGTCTGATTCGTTAGGTTGTTAGACCAAAGCAACCAATCACCGAACTGCCTGCCTCTTGATGGTTGCGTTAGACCGAGGCAACCAATCATCGAACCGCTCGTCTTGATGGTTGGATAGGCCGAGGTAACATGTTAACCAATCATCGAACTGCATCGTCTTGAAGGTTGGCTAGACCGAGGCAACCCTTGAGCCAATCAGCGAACTGCTCTCTTCTCACTTCCGCGTTGTCCCCAGCCCTCGCCGTTCTCGCCGGCGCCCCGTTTCTCTCAAGCCGAGCTGCCGTGGCAGGGTCTTCGAGAGGCATCACCACCACCTTATCGCCGGACCGCAAGCGGCCTTGCACCACCCGCCCTGACACCGACACCCCCTGAAAATAGTACAATGGCGGGGGGGGGGGGGGGTAAAGTTTGCTGGTGGGGAAGGAGTCCACTTTGGTTAAGTCAGCACACTTCCTACGCCGGAACAAACCGCCCCAAGAGCAACAACAGTGCAGATCCTGTGATGGTTCTTTTCTAGGGGGCGGGACAACATCAGCACATGGCCTACAGACGCAAGGGGCGTGCCAGCGTTACCGTACCCTCCCCCCCTCCCCATCGACGACGGCCAGCTTCTCGCCTCTGCGTCGCTCGGAGCAACCTTAACCTTTCCAACGTCAGAGGAGAAGGTGCGATATACATAAATAAAACCGACCACACTACAAAACAACCAAATGCGCGCATTCCATCCGTCTTCGAAGATTGGGCGGCAGCGGTCGATCGATGCTACTACTGCTGTATCAACAGACAGACACACACACACACACACACACACACACACGACGGAGCCCCCGACAAAAAACCACACCCGCAAAAACCCGCACACTACCCGAGGAGGTAACGTCAGCGACGCACGCGCTGAAGGCCTTGAGCAAAAACCCGTAACACAACCCGCACAAAAACCCCGGACAGAAACCCGCACCTTTCCCGAGGAGGTAACGTCCGCGACGCACATCCGGAAGGCCTTATCGGTCGCCCGGGGGGCCGCCTGAAAGGAGTCGATGGCCTCCAGGAGGGTGGGGCCGTCGTACCAGGACGACAGCGGCCCCCCCTCGGTCCTCTTCGAGACGTTCTCCGCCGACAGCCCGGACGCTGGCAAGAATCGCACCTGAACCGCGCGATGGGGGGGGACCAGGGGGGTGGGGGGTTTGAGCGCCGTTTCGTTGTGCAGGTTGTTGAACGGGGTGGGGTGGGGTGGGCACGCGCGCGATACACCGGTTGCGCACGAGGAAGTCGTACTCGGGATGATGTAGAAAAAAATGGGCATCACTCATGGGTATAAATGCCCCAGTGGGTTGGGGGGACCTGGTGTTGCCCAAGCAAAGGAGCAAGCAAAGCAAGAGCGTTCCAGGCACTAGAAGAACATAAAAGGGAAAAGGAACGACTGCAATACATCACTCCAACGTTTGCTACACTCCAGTCCGTGCAACCTGGTCGTGAAAAGAGCGAAGACATAATGAAAGAACGACTCTGCTATTGTGAGCTCAGGTAGTTGACCGACACCCTGATCGCGATAAAATCAGAAAACAACCGGGAAACCGGCGCTGCAGCTACGTAGACAGCTTGCTGCGTCCGCTGCTGGCCCACACGCAAAATCGCGCCGAACAAAACCCGAAAAGACGTGAAAGCACGGGTGTGCCCCTACATACACACCGTTGCGATATCAGATGGTGAATGTTGGCGTAAACACACATACCCACACGCATCCAATAGCCCCTTCGTAGCCTTCACGACCAACCTAGCGAGTCTAACCCGTATATAAAATGCCATGCCGTTTCTGCGTGTAGAAGCGATTCCTTCCATCGCAAGACTACTACAACAAGGGGGTAGGAAAGGCGCAGGTGGTAACCCGAGATAGGGGGAGGGGGGGGGGGGGGGGCTCTGACCCACTCCGCCAGCCGCGCACCACACCTTTTTCGGCCGGAATCCCGTCCTTGCGAGAAACGGTCCGACTTCCGCCTTGACCGCCTCGTAGCGCGCCTCGGACCACGGGGGATCCGTCGCGTCCAGCTTGTTCACCACCACCAGGAGTTGGTTGACCCCCAGGGCCTTGGCGAGCATCGCGTGCTCCTTCGTCTGCCCGTTCGCCTGGGAGGCAACCACGACAACAACAACCAGAGAAGATAAGAATGGCGGTTCGTTGACTGCAGCGGCTTCTTCTATTTGGCCCCTTCGTGAGCTTGGTGTCCCTCTCTTTCAGGCGCTACAGCAGTATCGACAAACCACGACTGACAAACAGTCAACAAGGATTGTCCGGATGAAAATAGATGCCGACGATATGAGAATCTCGTTCCCGGGTCCGACGTGCGTTGTTGACGCTAACACCCGTCGCATGGCAAACGCCCACCCCCGAGCGCTAAAATCCGGCGACCAACCAACCACATCATCGGGAAAAAACGTCCCAGGGTACGGAAACACCTAGGGTACAATTGATGATACCCTTAAGGGGCACGCGCAAAGTAGACGCCGAGGGGAGAGCGCTTCTACGCTCGCGGATGGTCATGGCGCCTACCGGTGTTCTACGATCTACAACACGTCAACACACAGACACACAACCCTCCACCCACCGTAAGGCAACATCGGAAGCGACGTGTGCTGCGTACCACTGAATACGGGTCCGGGGTCCCGGAGTGGGCACAGCAACATTGCAAGACGAAAAAAAAAACTACGAACAACATTTCACAAAGGCCGAGAGATCCTCCCCCCGCCCACCCCTCACTGCCGTGCAAACACAGAGAACCTGGCATAATTCTCTTACGGCTTGGTGTCGAGATCACCTTCATCAAGGGTAAAGAAATTCCCAACGTCTTTCGAGGACGACTCACATTGGGGATGAACACCTAGCGACCGCTTAGTAATATACCTGAAAACCGGACTCGAACTCGCCCACGGCCGCGGGGACGACCAGCACGGCTGCGTCGGCCGCGCTCGCGCCGCTGATCATCTTGGGGATGAAGTCTCGGTGGCCCGGCGCGTCCAGGAGGGTAACGAGCTTGGTCTCCGTCTCGATGTGCTTCTGGGCAACCTCGATCGTCACGCCGTGGGCCCGCTCTTCCTGGTCTTCGTCCATCACCTGTTTGTTGCGGCAGGCAAAACGGGAAACAACACACGACGGCGACGGCGGTTTCAGATACGTGCGCGACTGTTGCAATTTGTCGCCTGGTGTGGTTTTTTTGTTCTCGTCGAGAGGGCTGTGCGAGTAAACAAAAACGGTAGGGGCAGGAGAGCCAGACACAAACTCAGGAAGCCAACAGGGCAGTCCCAACAGCAGCAGCAGCAGCAGCAGCAGCAGCAGCAGCCGGGGCGGCGGTGTAAACCACATGACAGCACAAGGATCGTCAAATTTCTACCTGCCATCTACAATAGCAAGATGTGTACAAAGGCAACATTCAATCTCATATGTGTGCGGCAGCAGCGGCAGCAGCATCAACAGAAACAGCAGGCCAGCACCAACGCGACTTCGTCACCTACCCATGCCAAGAAGAAGCTCGCTTTCCCAGCCTCTCTGGCCTCCTTCTCCTGCTTGTGCAGCGCTCGCTGAGTCACCTGGCCCATCTGCACCAACACCTACGAGATGATGGCGAGAGGGGCAAACATCCAGGCGCATCAGCGGCAAAAGTCAGGATGAAATACGTTCGATCGTGAATGTCCACAAAGGTGAAGAGGAGTCGCCCGAACCGAGGAGCTCTCGATCGCTGCTCCCGTCGAGCTCGTGCGAGGTGCACTTGGTCGGGAGGGGCTCAAACGAACCGAGGCTAAGGCTAAGTCGTCGTGAGCCTCGTCTCGAGCCCTGGCACGACAAAAATGGCCTCGGGCGCACAGCAGTACCGACTGTTTGGCTCTCCCTATCGAATAGAGCATGATGGCTTATCTTGCCGTGAAAAAAACATGGAGCGCTTGTGTGCAATCGTAGGCGCTCCATGTCTCGGCAGCAGTCAAGGCACCATTCCAACACCCTCCTTGTCTTTGGTCCGAGGCTCGGCAAACGCTTGCTCCGCCGAAGTGCCGCCGATGCAACGGAAACTTACCTGTCCCATGAGCGTGCTCTTTCCGGCGTCCACGTGTCCGATCACGACCATCGCCAGCCGCTCCTTTCCCCCAGCCTGCGCGTCGTCGCTCTCGTCCATGGCCGCCGCCGCCGCCGCCGCCGCCGCGGATTGCTGCGGGGACGGTGCGGAGATGCCTCCGCCCGTCGGGGACTGGACCCGGGTCTTAGTCGGAGTCCGCGTGGCGGCGGCCGCCGTGGGCGTGCCGGTGATGGACTTGCGGCCGGCGGCGGTGCTCTTGGGCGTCGTGTCGGAGATGTGCACCACCTTTGCCTTTGGACTGGAAAAATTGTCTGTTTTTCGGCCTCCGCCTCCTCCTCCTCCTCGTGCTGCTGCTTGCTTGGATAGATTGAGGTCGTCTGGTGACGGTGTGTCGAAGTCGAAACGCTGCACGGTGGCGGCGGCGGCGGCGGCTGCAGGCACGGCGGTGGTGCTCGGGGCCGAGGTCGTTCGGCTGCTAGCAGCGGCACCAGGACGGCCATCGACGCACAGGCCGAAGGCAAGCGACGACGGCGAGCTGTTGTCGTACACGGTGGCGTCTGGCGGTGATCCTGGGGGTGGCGGTACAACCGCAGTGGTTGCTGCGGTGGCGGTGCGATGGCTACTGTTGCTGTTGCCGCCTCCAAATTGAACCTGAGGTTCGGATGACGACGACGCTCCGCTGGCGCTCAGGAGGATGACCTCCGCGGTATCCACCTCGTACTCGCTTGTCCTTACCGCCAGCCGCACTTGCTCGGACGAGAAGCGGCCTGCCCCGAGGCGACTCTCAAGCTCGGCAGCAATGGCGGCCACGAGCTCGGCGTCTGCTGCCTCGTCGTGTCCGCCGGGTTGCGGGGGCTTATCCGGGGCGTGCCGATCGGAGTGTCCCGGTGGTTCTCTCCCGTCGTATGCCCGCTGTTGTCGCTGCTGCTGTCGTGGTGCGCTGCCGGGAAGGTCGTCGAAGTAGGACGACAGAGATATCCCTCCACCGCCTCCGCCGCCTCTGCTGCTGCTGCTGCCGTCTGCTGTGTCGCCCCTAGCCTGGAGCATTTGCAGCCTGTGCTCCTCTACCAGTCGGTCCTCCTCCTCCTCGTCGTAATAGTCTTCATCTCCCTCGTCGTAGCTGAACTGCCGGTTTCGCACTCCTCTGTGCCTCGCCATGGTAGGCTGGATGATACTCAGCTCTCCGCAGCAGTCCCGACGAGTGCCGTGTGTGCTCTAACACTCATGCATGTGTGTCGGGGTTTGTTGCAACGTGCAGCCACACCGTCGCCGATGGCGGCAGGGCACCCACAAACAACACTATTAAAGGTACCCTGCTCATGCGCGTATACAATGTGTGGGGCCCCCGTATAGGCAGTCCAAGAGCAACTGGCAAGAATAACCCAGCAGCAGCACAGCAGCAGCAGCAGCAACAGCAGAGCGTGAGCTCACTGCTCAACATAAGACAGGGAGGTAGACGTAGGGCGTGTTTGAGGACATAGGAAGAGGCAAGGGAGATACGGGCATGGCGATGAACACCACCCCACGGCGCGGGTCGTCGACAGCAGCAAGCCAGATGCAGCTCGTGCTGCGGTCGGCGTCCTTGCACCCCCCGCCGACCACGAGCCTCGACGCCGCCGCGTCCTCCTCTTCCGGCGCAACCGCTAGCGTCGTGGCCTCCGAGCTCATGGCCGTCAGCGCGGGCCTCCATCTCGCCATGCTGTGCAGGAGCAACACCATTCGCGCCGTCAGCCTCATGGACGTTCCCGACGCGGCGGCTCATGCTCCCAGCAGCGGTAGCATCCGGACGCCGTCATCAGCACAACAACGGCGCGAGGACGACCCGTTCCACGCCGTATCCTTCTCCGCGGACTGCGCGCCGAGACCAGGGGACGACGTCATCCCCAGCGACTCCATCCCGCCCAAGACCCCCATCAAGGGGCTGCAGTTCTCCCCCTCCGGCCACAGCCTGCTCATCTGGGGCGAGAGCTACGTCGCGGTTGCCCGCCTCCCGCGCAGCGCCCGCACCACGGGCGGCAGCAACCCTACGCACGGGGTACCGCCGGCGACGCCCTTCCTCTCCCCGCCTCGGGACCTAACGGCGAGCGGACGGCGGCGGGGGACGGCGGGTGGCGACGGCACCAGCGGTGACAAGAGCGCTAGGTGGAAGTGGACGCTGGTGGACATGTCCGGGTACGCCGTGGACGTGATGAGGCAGAGGATCGTGCACGCCGCCTGGCACCCGGCGAGCGACGGGTGCGTGACGCTGCTGACCGCCGGGAAGGACGACGTCTACGTGGCCGTCGCCGGGGTCGGGGCCAAGGCGTTCGTCATGCTGCACGTGCCGGGCCGAGAGCGGCCGGAGCAGGTGCGCGTCTTCTTGTGGATACAGAGTGTCGCCGGCGGGCAGCATGGTGCATGGTATCTCCGGAGATTCAAGTCCTTTCGAAAATCGTCAACCGCCGCTCACCCCCGCCAAAGCTGTACCACTCTACGTACATATGCGGGAGGGTTTAATTGAGCCTTGCTCATCTTGGAGCTTGCCAACGCAACAGTGTTTTCCGCCGGCGCATCTCGTACGTGTTGCAGGCATTCTCACCCATCGGATTCCGAATACCCCGTTCGACTTCGCCGGCAACGGAGTGAGATGCTGCTGTGCTGCATTGACACGTTGCTGAGTTCTCCACAACCTAACCATGCCCCCACCCTGAGCGCGCGCCTGTTGGCGCAATAGGAAGGTTTTATATCATAACTCTCAAGTTATTTGTTTGCGCAAACGACCAACGTCGAAACTGGAGTTCCGGAGTACGGGCAGGCCTGTTGCCAGACACATCGCCGCATCGAATTGCCCCTCTTCCCCGCCTGTGCTTGGACATTTATAGTGCTTCCGTCCAAGACGCATGCATCCAGAATAGACGTATGCCCCTCTTGCATTTTTTGTTGTGCACATAGGAGCACATCGAATGAACCTCTAAAGAATGCGTGTCCTGCTGTTTTGCAGAGGCGTACTGCTGTCGCAATCTTAATCCGAATCCGGTGTGGAAACACGGCCTCCGCGTGCCTGGGCCCGCTGCGACTCACAGCTTGTCGTGGAAGTTGGTCAGCCACGAAGCGCCACCGATGCCACCAACAAACTCACGCTCGCACGTACGTGCGAAACAGGTGTTGCCTATCCCCGATGGGCCGAACGTGTCTCCGCCTGTCGCGCTGGCCCACAGCCACTGCCCCGGGTGGCAGCGCTTCACCATTTGGATCGCGAAGAAGGATGGTTCGGTGGGCGCCCTGTGCCCTGTGGTGCCGCAAACCGCAAAGGTCGATAGCGAGGAGCTGGTAAGCTAAGGCAAAGGGAGGTAGAAACACGAGGGAGTGGTTGTGCTTGCTATATGTTGCGTCTCGTTTGTACCCTGAGTTTGGGTTAGCCTGCGAAAATTGAAAGTCAATCCTCCCCCCGTAAAGAGTACTGGGTAGTAGAAGGCATTGGAAACAACCAGCAACGAGTTTCGGGGTGAACACGGTATCAACAATAACAACAGCGACGAAAATGGCGACCAAATGTTGATTTTGACGGCACCTCTACTGCTGTGCTTGCGGCCGTGTGGTAGATGAACACGAGAGCGGGTGGGAGCCCAATTGAGACCGCTAACCATAACCCAACCGTAACCTCGTCTGCACATGCTAGGGATTGGTTCTTCGTGTAGCCTGCTGGGCGTGTTCTCACCACTCTTTGTTGTGGGCGCTCCGGCGTGCCACAAGTTCCGTCTCCTTTTGATGTGGCACAAGTCTTGCTGCTGGGCGGTGAATGACGAATACCTCTACCCGAAACTTCGCGTTGTTTGATTTGATCCCTGTGTTCATCAGGTCGGGCTGTGGTCGGCCACGTGTGACACTTTGGTAGCTGCGCGATGGGAACAAGCACATCAAAGCGGGACGGATAGTCAGGTACGGGCTGCTACTGGTGGTGGTGGTGTTGCCAGGACTGCAGGCTGGACACCGCGGGGCCGTGGGTGCTGCCGCTGCTGCCGCCGCTCTTTCTTCTCTCCGCCTCACCCGCTAATTGCCACGCTTTTGTGCTGTGCATGTCACGGCTGAAACAGTGCGTCACCCTCTCGGTCTCCGGCTAGTACACGCTTCCACCACCCCCACACATCGCACACTCCGCCACCCCTGAACGATTTAACACCCGTCCCACGGCGTTTTGATCCCACTGCAGCAACAGAGCGCTCTGGACGAAGAGGTGGCACGGCTGGAGCAGCAGAAGGGGTGGCTCAGGGAAACGTTCAGCCACGTGTTCTATGGACAGGTGAAACTAAATCAGAGAGGAAGGGAAGGGCTTAGAGCCACGAACGGAAGGGTGTGGATGGGCGCAGAATCTGAACGATGGCATGTGCGGCAGGAATAAGGCAGGGGCAGGCGGTGGGGGTGGAGGAGAAACCCCTCTACTTTCGCCGTAATCGCCAACCAGAAATCTGATTTTTACAATCGGATGGGATGGAAACCAAAAGAGGGCGCGTTAATCTACGTCACACATCTCGCGACGTTGCCGTGCAATGCTTATCCCTGTTTTGTTTTTGTCGTGCGATGCGAGACACCGACCGACCCACCCGTTCCCTCCCAACACTCTGCCCTATCGAACCGCCCCCCCCGCCCTCGCAGGACAATGACGGCACGGCGGCAGCGGTCCCAGCAGGGGGAGCGTTGGTAGCCCGAACCCCTCGCCACCTCGTGCTCCAGGACCGTATCCTGGCCGGGAGGACCGGCGAGAACGCCGGCGCCGCGTGCGGCTTGGCTGTGCTCCAGGGAGTGGGCGGTGGGGCGGGGGGGGATGCCGCGGAGGCGGCGGCCGCCCCGCCGCCGGTGGTGCTGGCGGTGGCGTACAGGGAGGGGTGGGTGGACATCGCGCTGGTGCCGGCGGGCGTCAGTCCCAGGTGGGATGCGTGAACACACAATAGGAGTAGTAGTTTTTATCGTGCTGCCGTTGTGTAGTTTTGGTACATTCCGCGGGTCGGAGTCAAGCACTCGCCGGTGCATGTTTAGTTGGCGACGTCCAAATATTTTGCTGTTTTATCAGCTGTTCCCTTTGTCACCGATATCTACCGCGTCCCTGTCGCCAGGAAGCGGGCGTGTCACCACCCCGCCCGCGTCCCCTCCTCTCAAATTCCCGATACAAACATTTCTCGGCTCCTCTCTCACCCACCAAAACAACGTGAATCAACAACACGACTCGCGTGAATTGACCTGCCTACATCATGTGTACCACCCACAGGTGGTCCGAACGCGCTGGCCAGCGCGTCTCGTGCGCCGCCGCCGCGGCCGGGGGGAGCGGGGGAGAGACATCGGGGGCCGTCCTGGAGAGCCTGGATCTCGCCGAGCGCGTGGAGGACAAGACCGCCAGGAGGAGGCAGGGGCTGTCGCTCTCGGCGGGGGGGTCGGCGTCGTGGACGCTCCTGGCCGCCACGCCGTGCAGGGTGGCCTCTGTCACGGTGACGTGGGCGGGTCGTATCCAGAGGGCGGCGGAGCGCGCGAGGGAGGTGTGTGTGTGTGTGTGTATGTGTGTGTGTTTTTTTTACTGTTGGCATCCACCGGCTGACCAATGAAAACGCGTGTCGGGGAGGTAAGGGGGGCATCGTTACGTTTTTGCTGCCTTTAGCCAGCTGTTAGAACACGCGTCCTCGAGAGGTCGGGGGGTGGTCTGTCTGTCTTGACGACTCTTTGCCCTCTCTGGAGAGCGATAGCTTATCGCTCTGGGCGGTGCTATGTATGAAGTACCCCAAAGTCTGTTGGTTATCTCTTTCGTTTGGAATTTCGGCCTCCCCGTGATGTTTGTGCGGTCCGGCAGTCCTCCTGCCGTGTACGGCGTTTCGTTCGAATTTGTTTTCGACCTGCGTGAGGGGACGTCCGTCGCATCCTGCGCAGATAGCTGGCTAACTCTGCCGTATGCTTCTGATCGCATGCGTCTGGCGATAGATGGTCGGGTGTTTTCCGTTCCTCTTGGCGTGTGACGTGGTGGTCCGTCCATCAAGTCTGCCCTTCCCTGATGTCCTGATTTTACCCTTTGCGGGTGTAGCTCACTTAAGGGTAAGCGTGTTGCCCCTTTACGTATGTAGCTCTCTCTCTCTCTCTCTCTCTGTTCTGCCTGTCTCTGGTGTATCTGTCTCGATGATCCTAGACCTGATCTCCTC